TGTTTTCTTAGCCGTCTAGAACTTGAAAGCAGAAGCAGAGCAGGAGCAGGTAGAAAAGCAGAAGAAGCAGAAGAAGAAAGCAACTTATTCTATCATGCACTAGATTGTTGTCTTAGCAGCCAAAAACTTGAACAGAATATACAAACTAAATGTTTCAGATGGTAGAAGAAGATTGTTGTCTTAACCGTCAAGAACATCACGAAATTACATAACACGACAAGAATTTATGTTCTAAACCCATCAACCCATTTCCTGACTTAAGAAGCGTAAACAAGATGTACTTAATCCATCAAAAAGGAATTCCAGATACCCCCCAGTCAGTTGATGAGCTTCCAAAGAGCTTGAATAATTCACTCAGAACGTTTATTGATACTACAATTATTGAGATCCAAGCCAGTATCAATAGGCACCCTTATAAGTTCCTGTAACATGTTTTCTGGTCAATTATTTGATAATATTTCATATGGGAAGTTGTTGAATGATAATGGGTCGGGTCGATAGTCATAGGTCTCCACATTGTAGAAACAAGTCTCGAAAACCAGAAAAATGGCGGCTTTTAGGAAAACGAACATTTGAACTCACATTAATTGTGTTCGTCTATGGCATTTGACACATAACATGTGCCACCACATTTTCTGGTAAATGCTTGCCGAGGTCATTAAACGCATACCTCAGAGTATCACTTATTGCGTGGATAGCAGCTTTTGATGCAGTGTAAGTGCCAGCCCATGGTAGTGGGGCCAAAGCAGTGACACTTCCAAAATTGACGATTTTGCCCTTCTTCCTAGATGCCATATGCGGCACAACAGCTTGAATTAACCTCAAGGATCCTATGAACAAGAACAAGCAACATACAGTTTAACCCACATAAATAATGTCTTATCACCCTAATATCTAAAAGGGGAATAAAAACACAGTTTGCATAAGCATAGGAAGGAATCTGATTAGACTTTTTTGTTCCAGAAGCATAGACGAATAAAAATAATTAACAAAAAATTCAAAGAACAAGAAAAATGAGGAACTAACATCAGGCCGAAGAGATAGGATTCCCTGAAAGATGGTACTCACCACATGGCATGCAAAAATCAGCACTATTAATTTGTTATATTAGCCTCTTAAGTGGATGCCACAGCAGATCAGATAAGTCTTCAGAAGCAAGAACCAATGAAGAGCAAATGAAGGCCACACTATATATCCATCACGCATAATAGGAAAAGAAGAAAATTCTTACTCAAACAAATTACCTTCCACAACACAGAAGTTTAATTTCTCAGTGCTACTGCATTTATTGCATCTTGTTCATATCTTTCTCCAAACTAAAGTTGCACTGTCCAACTTATCTAGTTCAGGTATACTTACGAATTATCAATTGATGCCTTACTGCAACTTTTAACAAATGCACATTTGAGCAACAAAAAGAACTCCCACATTCGTGGAGAAAATCTTGAATTGAAGGAAATTGGTAAAGAATAGTTTCTTCTTCCCGACTTCGTTGCATTACGATTGCCTAACGAAGCATTAAAGTTGACATCTTTCTTCTTCTACACCTAGCACGACAATGGATCAACAATGTCTGAATTAAGAATACCGGCTAATCATGTGAATTGTAAGTGCAAAGCAGATGATATTTTTAAATTTTTTTTTGTCAACATCTTCATAGTTAACTAAGTCATGATGCTGGACACAAGCAAAATTTTCATGTCCACCGCAACAATGTTAACACAAAAATGCTTGATTTATAGAGTTTGGATAAGCAAATATATCCACTGGCCTTAGCTTTCTCGAGTACATTAAATCAACACAAATAGCATCAATTAGTCCCAGAATATAAGTAGATCAATCAAACAGAAATAGCATCGATACCATTAAATCAACACAACAAACGCAGAATGGAAGAAATCAGAAGAACACCAACAGCTAATCCCTCACCGAAAACATTAGTGTTGAAGGTCTGTTCGATGGCGGACAGAGGAACCTCCGCGATGGGCCCCACGCACTGGACTCCGGCATTGTTAACCACGACATCGATGCGGCCGAATCGTTCCAGAACCGTGGACAGGGCGTGGCGCACGCTCTCGTCCGATGAAACGTCCAGCTCCTGGACGAAGAACCGCGGGTCGTCCTGCATATCGGAGATGGATGCGAGCGAGCGCGCGGTCGCCACCACCAGGCAGCCACGCGAGGCGAACTCGCGGGCGAGCGCGTGGCCTATGCCGCCGGCGGAGCAGCCGGTTATCACGACCACTTGCTTCTCGTAGACGTCCATTTTGAGTGTTGATTTCGAATTATTCAACTGTGGGAGGTCTCTGTAATTACTTGTTTGCTTAGATAGTATCAACTCTGTGATAGGATTAGGGCCCGCAAAAATTAATTGGCGTAGCTCCCATATTTAGGACGCCTGGTGAGATGAAGGCATGCCTAATCAAGAAAAGTAGACATTTTCATAATTCATAGTCGTCTGAAATTAAATTGGGATTAGAACCCGGTTTATTTCACTTCTCAAGATGTATGACATATCATTGCTTTCTAAAGAGAACCAAACTAAGTTGAGGCCTATTCTTTGAGGCAGGAGATAAACCCGTGTTCGATATACCTGTCATTAATGTGTGGAGCACATCAAATTGACGTTGTCGGTAGGAAGTGAGAAATTTTGTTGTTTTTTCGCTGAAATTCTAGGCTTAGTAAGTGATATTTACAAGATGGTGAATGAAGATCGGATAAAACAACAGTAGTTTTTAGAGAGGCTTGGGTGGATACACATCGGTTTGGTGGACCAGTTGGATCTACTCCAACACCGAAAATGTTGGGAATGAACCAGACAACAGTGGGAAAAGAGGCTCATCAGAAGGGCAATGGTGTACATCTTCACCCTCCTCCGCCTCTAGGGCCAAAGTGGGCAACTGTCTTGCTGTGGCAACGACTAACCTGATCTCAGGTCCTACGGCATCGATACCTAGAGGTCGGTCTCTCCAGGTCGTCTTATCTAGGTCAACGCGTACCTTAAGCTCGAAAGCGAGCTCCTTGTCTAGATTGCTTTCTTATAGACAGGCCTAAGCTCTTCTAGACCGGTCTAGCTGAGCTAACTACACAAACTGGGCTGGCGAGCTATTCTAAGTGCAACATCATGTAGCCCCTTACCCCTTCCCATTTTAAGGTTGAGCAAAGTGGACTTGTGCTAAAATGGATCTCTCCATTATACCCTTGTATGTAGACAACTTTTCTGTTCAGTGATTGTTAGCTAGCCTGGGAGAGTATGAGACGCCCAAAAGAGAAGTCTTACATGCTCATGTCTCAAACCTTTGACACGTCTTATGCCCACGTGTACATGTCGTGTCGTATTATGCACGCAACTTTGAGCCCTTAATGTGTGTACTCTCCAATGGTCGGATCTTTTCCCTTCTATGGCGTATAAAACTTCGTATGTGCCATATTTCTTCCCTTTAGAGCTCTGACACTCTTCACACTCAGTTTCTACATAATCATCTTTCTTTGGTTTCTATGTAGCCTCGAATTTCCAAACTCGTCTCTATAACTTTGGCGATTTCTACGACACTTCATGTAAGGTTTTATGGGTACGTTCTAGACTTCTTTTTCTTTTATTCTCTAAAGCTTTTATAATTATTATTTTATCTAGCCTTTTTTGGAGATTACTTAAGCCGTCTCCTATTCTTTTCTTAACAATGTCATCAAGCTCTTCGACTTTCTCTTCTCAAACAGATTAAATAGCATTATTGATAATTTCTCAATTCTCTAAACCATTCCCCTTGAGGGCCTTGATGCTATCTCTTTAGCTTTGCATCAACCTGCCGAGTTTACCGTCGTCGAAGGTGTTCATGTCACTCTCTCTTCCAACCTGGTCCAGGTCGCTAGACCTATTCCTTTATTTGTCTGGTCAGGTACTGACCTTGACATGAGTGCGAGCTTCCTCGGTCCTGGGAGATTCGACTTCCAAAGGTTGTGGATTCTTTCTCCAAACCCCTTAGGGCTTCTATGTCTTCTTTGTAGACCATGTATATGTCGGTCTCACTTTTTCTCTAAAAACAACCTCTTAGAGCAGACTCAACTCTACAGGGTCTCTTTAAATCATTTTTCTCTCAACGCAATTCATTTCATGGCGGGCTAATGTATTATAAGTCGTTGCATCCTTCATTCTTTTGATCCTACCTTTTTGTTTTATTGCAACTGGATGAAGCCCCAAAAGGGCTCATTTTATCTTTCTCGCCATAATGATGAGAATTTCCTTGACAACCTTATTTCCAATATCCCTGAGTGCAATCAAAATATTTCTCTGTGAGACTCCCTCAGGAAATTTTGACTTCTCCCATGAGTGGATTTATGAAAAGCCTGAACAACGCAAGTCCCCCAAGCCAAACTAGGCTTACGAAGACCTCATTGTAGGTTTAAACAAAACCCCCCCAACGACCTTGTCCTCCTTATTGATGACCGTGACTTGAGGTCATACAGTGGTCAGTCCTCACTACCTTGCTCCCGTAATCCTCTCTCAGGTATTCCTTAATTAATAATGTTTTCTTCTCTTTATATTTATCTTAATTTTTGTTATTCTAATAATCACCGTAACTTTCTTCATGACTTATCTTTAGATGCCATTGTGAAGAAAGCACGGTCGAGCTCAGCTCCTCAGAATAAGTCCTTGCACTCTCTCGTGGCTACCGTTGGGACAACCGTTAGGATGCGACCGACCTCTTCATCGCCACAACCGACGCTTCTTGCCGGCTTGCTTTCACTTCAACCGAGTGTTGATTTTGGCACCACTGTCGATGCCCAACTTTGGCGGTGCTGGTCAAGGTGACCCTTTCATGAAGTATTCGCGCCTTACGGAGAGGAATACCACCGCCGGTCCTCCGAAGCCTACCACGACCGAGGTTCCTGCAACTGCCAACCTGGAGATGCGTGAGAAGTTTGCGGTCTCTAATTATGCAAGCGCACACTCCATATATCTAATGTCCATTTTTCCTGAAGGTGAGACTGATTGCTGGTGAGGTGATTGAGCTTTTCGAGCTACATACATGCTCTCGCACACTATCCGTGTATAAATCTTGCTTCATAGATCATAATTGTTCTTTATTGTCCTTTACTCATTTCATGGCATTTATCTCCGCCCTTACCTCACTTTTCAGTGCTTTTTGCGGGCTTTGTTTGGGCTTGCCCCACTTCTTGACGAGGAGTTATCTGATCAGGTTTTTGTTGCTGAAAACGAGTGGATAAAGGTTGAGTTCACTGCCCGTGAGAAAACCTTTGACTGTGAGTGCGCTGTTCCGAAGTTCGTCGCTATGAAAGTAGATGAAGAGGCCAAGACTCTTAGGGTCGAGATATCTACTATTTAAATGGAGCTCTATGGTGTCCGGGATAGAGTGGAAAAGGCATCCCAGCTGCGGGCTCAATTGAGCTAACAAGTCACATCTATGGTCGAACGTAAGGCACATGCGCACGAAAATGGCCTTACCTCCTTCCCTACCTCCAACTTGAGGAAGGGATATTTTGAGCGCTATCGTCAAAAGATCCTAGCTTGATTTAAGAACTTGAAGGAGTTTTTATTATTGGTTGGTGTTGTTCGATCAGCAGTATCTCAAGGTCGGTATCCAATGAACTAAAGACCAGGCTGTTGCTAGAGGTTATACGGGAGTCTTTGACGAGGATGAGATATGGCGAGGCCTCCTAGATTCTGAGGGTTGGGAAAGCAATCTTGACGAGCCTCGCCATCATGCCTGGTGGGAGCCTGCTCTAGTGGCTGCTATGTGGCGCACGGGCTGGGGTACTGCCCCTGCAAAGTCTGGCGAGGTGTTGACCTTCTTAGCCCCTTAGTCTTTTTTATCTTTTTATGTGACCGATTTGCCCAGACCAAGGCTCATGTAATGTATTTATCTTTCAATGAAGCATTTTTTTACATGGTGTAGTCATTTATTTCATGTGTTTATTCTTTTTACTGCTCCACTTAGGCACTTGAGCTTGGCGATGTGAGCCCTTCTGCCTGGTTGTTTAATATGGCGGTCTCTCATTACTTGTAAAATACTCTCAATATTTCATCCAATTTGACCTTTTTAGATGTTGTCTTGTCAGTAACTTGATTAAAGTCTTAACTATGACCTCATCAATTCATTTTGTGCGATCTGTCTTGATAATTGAGCTCTTCTAACTATCATCGGGCTCCCTAAATCAACCAAATCCACTTTCATTTTTTGATAAGTTTGACCAGTGGTGCTCCGTGCTTAAGTCCTAGGCTACTATAATGAAGCTTCAATCCCAAGGCCCTTGAGCTTTCGCGTAAAGTCCCGACTTCTTAGTGTATTCTTGAATTCTTTACTTGATGTTATGATTTATCTCTAGGCCTTTGAGTATTCTTGTTTGAAGTTTTTCCCCATGAAAGTATTTTGACCCTCTAACGAGGTTGGACATTTTTTTGCCTTTTTTTTTTCTCTTCAGACATAACAAACTTTCTGGTGCTTGGGTTGTGTGCTTTGAACTCGTGGCACATTGTCAAACCTGTCCACCATGCGGGCTAAACTTCAGGCACCTCAGTCTTTAACTGACCCCCACCATAGGTTACGTGTGGGCTTACCCTAAGCTAAGGTTGCTTGAACCGACCAGTGTCGTCTTATGAGCCATTTATACTTGTGACTTTCTTTTGGCTTTCCTTTAGTGACGCTGGACCTTTTCTTTATGTTGGGGGGTTTTTAGGTTGTTGACTTAAAATCCTATCCTTCTTGGTTCTTCAAACGACCTGCTCGAAATTTTTACTCTCTTTTACGCTAGCCTCTGGGCTAGCCACTCAGAGTTCTTCCTCTCTTTTCCACTGAGGTCTTCAATCTAACTATAAGTTATATCACTCTCAGTCATGCCTTTGAGCTATCCACTCGAAGTCCTATCCTAGACCTCCGAGCCAAAGCTCGGAGTTTTTCTAACTTAGATTAGGCCCTTGGACTTAGGGCTGCAAACGAGCCGAGCGGCTCGCGAGCCGATTGTGAGCGCTCGAGTCAAAGCTCGACTCGAGCTCGAGTTTGACCGAACTCGAGTCGAGCTCGAGCGGCTCGAGCATGAACTCGAGTCGAGCTCGAGCCCATATTTTGCCTTGTCGAGCGGCTCGTCGAGCAGCTCGAAATACATGTTAAATTACTAAAATACCCTTTTATATATATATGTTAACATAAGTCCTTATTGGTAATTTTACCTTTCTACTTAAAATTTTTCGAGCCGAACTCGACTCGAGCTCGAGCATTTTGATTTTGAGTCGAGCTCGAGCCGAGCTCA